ACTACGTGGGATTCCAGCGACATAGCCATTACACTAACTGCTGGTTCCCTAGTCCAGTCTTTTTTCTCCCAGAATTATGTATTTAATTTAATTTACTATTATTTTGTAAAGAAAATATTTTATTTAACTTTATTTATTTGTTTACTTATTTTAATTTGGCCAGAGACGGACAGAGAGAGAGAAAGTGAGAAAGCAAGCTGCCAGGTCTGGAACTCAAACTGTGGTTGGCCATGTGGGAGTCCAGCGCCCTTAACCACCATGCCACCTACTGGCCCCTCCACTCTTTTTGGTTTTTTTGTAGGGGTTTTTACTACAAGGCACGTGTGCTCGCCAGAAACAGAGACAGAAAGTGAGAAATCATCCCCCGGGGGGATGGCCATGCCGCAATCCCTTCTCTTCCATTCTCCTCTCGGGATTTTGGGCACTCATGCACATACGCTCAGCATGAGTTTAAACCACTGGGTCCGGGATTTGAACCACGGTCAACTACATGGGAGTTCAGCGACAAAGCCATTATGCTAACTGCTGGTTCCCCCTCCCCTTTTTTAAAGAATTATTTTTGCTTAACTTTATTCATTATTATCAATGAATTATTATTTTTTAATTTAACTAGAGAGAGAGAGGGTAAGTGATAAAGCAAGCTGCCAGGTCTGGGACTTGAACTGTAGTTGGCCATGCAGGGGTCTAGCAACTTTAACCAACACACGACCTGCTGGCCCTATTAAAGCATTTCTCTATCTTTTTCTTATTTTAGAGAGATTTTTGCCATAGGAGGCAGAGTTAGAAAGTGAGAAATTACCCCCCTGGGGGGGTGGCCACACTACAATCCCTTCTCCTCCACTCTCCCCTTGGGATTTTGGGCATGTATGCACACACAGACACACCCAGCATGAGTTTAAGCTGCAGGGTCCAGAACTCGAACCACAGTCAACTACGTTGGTGGGAATCCAGCAACATAACCATTACGCCATCTGCTCCTCCCACCTTTTTCTAGGGTTTTTGCCATATGGTGCATGCACTCACCAGAAAGACAGAAAGAGATAGTGAAAGGGAAAGTGAGAAATCATCCCCACGGGGAATGGTCAATGCAATCCCCTCTCCTTCATTCTCTTCCTGGGATTTAAGGCTCACATGTATACATGTTCAGCCTGATTTTCAAGCTACCAGGTCCAGGACTAGAACTGTGGTCTGCCATGTGGAAGTCTAGCACTTTAGTGACCATGCCACCTGATGGCCCCAGCAAAGCATTTCTCATTTTATTTGTTTTATAATACACTTATTAAGCTCAATATTGAGCATTAAATTTGTGCCAAGGAGACTTCTATCTTTGTGAATTCTCTGGCTGAATCTCCATAATCACCCCATGAAGTAAAAGCTGCCAATGCTCTAATTTTCAAGGTGAGGAAGCAATGCAGATGCCTTGGGTCATACAGCATGGAATGAAGGAACGTGTGTAGACTCAGTAGTTGCACTAACCTCTGCTAAGAGCAGGGCTTTTCCCCCTGCACTATTACACTACTGCAGTACTAAAATTGCATGTAAGAAAATAACACTAATTGGGACCAGCAGTTAGCGTAATGGCTATGTCACTGGACTCCCTTGTAGTCGCCTGCAGTTCGAGTCGTGGACCTGGTGCCTTAAACTCACGCTAGGCGCGTGTGCGTGCGTGCCCAAGATCCTGAGAGGAGAATGGAGAAGGAATTGTGGTGTGGCCATCCCCCATTGGGGTGGGGTCATTTTTTTCTTTTTGTCTCTCTCTGTCTTTCTGGCAAGTGCACACACCCTATAGCGAAAACCTCTCCCCCACCCTCCAATAAAGAGAAAATAACATTAATTCCCTTACATCTACTATCCTATCCAGTCCATACTCAGGAGTTTCCCAGTTGTCCCCCAACAGTTAACTATTTCAAACTGACATCTAACCATGGCTCATACACTCAGTATGTCGACTTATGTCTCTTTAATTTAGAATATCCAGGGGCCAGCTGGTAGCGTAAAGGTTAAGGTGCTGACTCCCACATGACCAACTGTGGTTCAAGTCCTGGATCTGGCGGCTTGAAAATCATGCCAGGTACCTGTATGTGCATGCCCACAATACCAGGAGGAGCATGGAGGAGAAGGGACTGTGGTGTGGCCAGCCCCCCTTGGGGGTGATTTGTCACTTTCTGTCTCTCTCTCTGGCAAGTGTGAGCACCTTGTAGCAAAAACCTAAAGGAAAAAAGAAAGAAAGACAGACAGACAGAAAGAAAATCACACGAGGTATGTATGTGTGTATCCCCCAAATCAAAAAAGAATGGAGAAGGGATTGTGGCATGGACATCCCCCTTGGGGATGATTTCTCACTGTCTCACTTGAGTGAGTTCATACACCATATGGCAAAAACCTTCAAAAAGAAAATTGAGAATATCCACTCTCAACCCCCCACTTGTAAGACACTGTCTTAAGAAATCTTACCCACAAACGCTGCACGTCTAATTCTATCTCTGTTGTACACAAACCCCTGTAGGCACTCCTATTTTCAGCTTTCTTTTCCTGCTAAGATCTCCCAAACACTTACATTTTTTTTTCAGATGATATGCTTCTATTAATCATGGCCCTGGGGGCGAGCAGGTGGCATGGTGGTTGAGGCACTGGAGTCCCATATGGCCGAATACAATTTGACTCCTGGACCTAGCAACTTGCTTTCTTATTTTTTTTTTCTCTCTCTCTCTCTTTCACCTTTCTCTGTCTCTCTCTGGTGAGCATGCATGCCCTGTAGCAAATTAAATAATAATCATTATTAAAACTAAATAAGGGGCCGGCAGGTGGTATGATGGTTAAGGGTACTGGACTCCCACATGGTCAACTACAGTTCGAGTCCCAGACCTGGCAGCTTGCTTTCTTACTTCCCTCTCTCTCTCACTTTGCCCCTTTCTGGTCAAATTAAAATCAATCAATCAATCAGTCTATAAAGTTAAATAATTCTTTTAAAAAAACCTAAATAAATAGTTTTTAAAAAAGAATTATTGGGGGGAACCAGCAGTTAGCGTAATGGCTATGTCGCTGGACTCCCATATAGTCGACCGCGGTTCGTGTCCCAGACCCGGTGGCTTAAAACTCACGCCGGGCTTAACTGCACCCTCTAATTAAATGAATATTTATCAATTTTTGTAAAACTGCTCTGCTAGATCAGAAATTACACTGGAACTTTCATTTCCTTAGCACTTTTAAAAGGCCTGTGCTAGATCTTGGAGTTTCTCAAATAAAGCACTGACCTTGCAGGTTAAGAACTCATAGATAGAGACCAGCAGGTGGATGGTGGTTAAGGTGCTGGACACTCCCACATGGCCATCCACGGTTTGAGTCCTGGACCTGGTGGTTTGCTTTCTCACTTTCCCTCTCTCACTGATCAAATTTTAAAAAATGAATAAATAAATAGAATAAAATAAAAATAATTCTTTTAAAAATAGAATTATTTATCTATCATTATTATTTTTCAGTTTTGACCAGAGACTGATAGAGAGAGAGAGAGAGAGCAAGCCACCAGTTCTTGGACTCGAACTGCAGTCGGCCATGTCAGAATCCAGTAACTTTACCACACTACCTGCTGGCCCCTAAATAATTAAAAAAAAAAAAAAATGGCCCTGACACCCTGTTCTGGACACTTTACAATGTTGGCAAAAGGTAGGTACATGATCATCACCTCCATCTTCCAGATGGGAAAACTAGGGCTCAGAGTGGTAAAGCCACTTGCCCCAGGTCACACAGCAAGATCAGGAACTGAACCCAGACAATGTGGCTTACTCACCTGACTGATGTCCTCCTTGCAGGGATTTCTTGGCCACCTCAGCCAGTGCTCCCAGCCCTAGGCCCACAGCCAGTCCTGGAGAAGGTGAGAGGAGCTGAGTGCCTGCCTGGGCATCCTCCCTGCCCCCTTCTCCTTTCGGTCTCCCTCTAAGCACAACTGTCTCCCGACTGTGTTTGTCAGCTCTCTGCATCTCTTAGTCTCCAATTCGGTCTCTCATTCTCTTATTTGGGGCTCCCCTCAAGGGGATGCTACTTTTCTTTTATCTCTTTCCAGGTCTCTGTCTCCCTCCCAGCAGTTCTCAGTCTCAGATGCACATTATTCATCTGTCCAGACCCCACCCCCAAGACTCTGATTATACTGGCCTGAGCTGGAGTCCCAAGTTGACAGTGGAGCACCCATGACTCTGGCTAGCTAAAGGCCTGGGGAAAAAGCCAAAGAGTGACAAAAATCTCTCAAGGGTCTTTCTCTCTCTTGAAATAAACTTTTAAAAGGGAGTGGGGGTTGGGACCAGCAGTTGGCATAATGGCTATGTCACTGGACTGCCATGTAGTTGACTGTGGTTCAAGTCCTGGACCAGTGTGTGTGCATGCCCAAAGATCCTGAGAAAAGAATGGAGGAGAAGGGATTGCAGCATGGCCATCCCCCCTGGGGGGTGATTTCTTGCTTTCTGTCTCTCTGTCTTTCTCTGTCTTTCTGGCGAGTGCATGTACCCTATAGCAAAAACCTCTCAAAAAAAAAAAAAAACAAGGCGGGGCGGAGATTGGAGTGGTGCAGCAGTAATGTAACACTCTGTGAGGCTGATCTACATGGGAAAGCTCTGGGTTTGCCTCAAGCCAGGTGCTTGTGTGCCCTGATCCAGGGCTGACCAATGCTGGAGGATGGATCACAATGTCAAGACCCTGATGAGGATGCTGTCTGTCTCTCACTCATGGAAGATTAAAAACAAAACAAAACAAAAAAACCGGTCTGAGCCAGCAGGTGGTGTAGAGGTTAAGAAGACTGGATCCGGGAACCAGCAGATGGCGTAATGGCTATGTCGCTGGACTCCCACGTAGTCGACCGCGGTTCGCATCCCAGACCCGGTGGCTTAAAACTCACGCCAGGCGCGTGTGTGCCCAAGATCCCGAGAGGAGAATGGAGGAGAAGGGATTGCGGTGTGACCAGAAATCCCCCCTGTGATTTCTCGCTTTCTGTCTCTATGTCTCTCTCTGTCTGGCGAGCACATGTGCCCTATAGTGAAAAATAAAAATAAAAAGAAGAAGGCTGGATCCTACATAGTTGAGTGACATGGTGGTTAATGATCTGGACTTCCACATGGCTGACCATGGTTTGGCTCCTGGACCTGGCAGCTTGCTTCATCTCTCTCTCTCTCAAATTGAATAATAATAATAAAAATCAATGAATTTAAAAAAAAAAGGACACTGGACCCCCATATGCATGGATCAAGTCCTGGACTTAGTGGCTTTCTTTCTTTTTTTTTGTCTGATGAGTGCATGTGCCTTATAGCAAATTAAATAATAATACTAAGTGAAATAAATCTTTTTTAAAAAATTTATTTAGTCATTTATTTCCATTTGACTAGAGAGAGACAGAAAGCGAGAAAGCAAGCCTCCAGGTCTGGGACTTGAACCGTGATCAGCCATGTGGGTTTGTCCAGCGCCTTAACCACCATGCTACCTGCTGGTCCCCAATAAATCTTTTTTGTTTGTTTGTTTGTTTTAATTTTAATTTTTTTTTTGAGAGCTTTTTGCTATAGGGCGCGTGCGCTCGCCAGACAGATAGAGAGAGACAGAGAGATAGAAAGCAGGAAATCACCCCCCAGGGGGGATGGCCACGCCGCAATCCCTTCTCCTCCATTCTCCTCTCGGGATCTTGGGCACGTACGCACACGCGCCCGGCGTGAGTTTAAGCCACCGGGTCCGGGACTCAAACCACGGTCGACTACGTGGGAGTCCAGCGACATAGCCATTATGCTAACTGCTGGTCCCTCCAATAAATCTTTTTTAGAAAAAAAAAGGATTTATTTTTTGAGAGAGAAAGGATGAAGGAACAGGTACCCTTCACAGGGTCCTGCCACATTGCAGTCCTCCTCCCAGCCCTTCAGCTAGCCAGGATCATGGGTATACCTGATGTGTTCAGACTAACCAGGTATCCGAATCCAGTATCTAGTATCATGCAGAAGTACCCCTACCCCGTGCCACTATTTCTCTCTTTGAAATTATCTTTCTAGCTCTGATTTCCTCTTTTCTCTAAAGGCATTTTAAGTTTACTGCCTCTTTCTTTTTTTGAGAGGTTTTTGCTATAGGGCGTGTGCACTAGCCAGAAAGACAGAGAGACAGAGACAGAAAGTGAGAAATCACCCCCTGGGGGGATGGCCATGCTGCAATCCCTCCTCCTCCATTCT